GAAGGGGATCTGGGGTTAGAAATGATGGTGGAATGTTATGGACATTATTATACGAAGTACATGTATGAAGACACGAATTGGTGTGAATATACTTTGTATACAACCAGAGATATGAAAAATTGTGCTCTATATGTGTAATATGAATTATAATGCATTCTGCTGTCATATATAAATTAAAAATAATTTTAAAAGGTATACAAATAAGAAAGGAAAAAGTCAAATTACTTGTTTTTGGAAGATACAAAGGCTTCTAGAAACAATTTAGTAAAATAGCAGGATACAAGATCATCGTATAGAAATCAGTAGTATTTATATATACCAATAACAAATTCCCTGAAAAAGTAACCAGGAAAACAATTCCATTTAAAATAGCTTCAAAAATATTTATGAATAAATCTAACCAAAAAGGTGAAAGACTTCTATAATGAAAATTACAGAACATAAGAAAAAAAAAGAAATATAAGACTCTAGAAAATAGAAACCCTCCCATTTTCATGGATAGGCAGAACTAATATTGTTAAAATGGTCATATTACCAAAGTAATCTACAGATTTAATGTAATCCACATCCAAACACTAGTGACATTCTTCAAAAAACAAGAAAGAACTAAAATTCATAGAGAGGCACAAAAGGCCCAGAATAGCCAAAGCAATCCTGAGTAAAAAGAGCAATGCTAGAAGCATCACAATACACAATTTCAAAATTATGCTATAGAGTTATAGTAACAAAACAGCATTGTATTGGCATAGAAAGACCATTACATTAATAGAATAGAAGACAGAGAACCCACAGATACAGTCATCTGATACTTGACAAAGGCATGAAAAACTTACATTGGAGAAAAGGTAGACTTTTAAATAAATGGGGTAGAGAAAGGAGATTGAGGAGAGGGAGATGGGGAAGGCCAGTGGAGGTATGGGAATGAAACTGAATGAATTATATCATGTACATGTATGAATGTGTCACAATCCCACTATTATGTAAAATTGTGCAACAAAACAATTTTTTAATTAAAAATTTTAAAAACGATATTTCCCCGGTCAAATAAACTAGGCATCTATGAAAAGTTTTGGCAGACATTTTTCAAATCAGTATAAAAATAAAATACAATGTGTGCACACAAAAGTATAAAACAATGTGGCATATGCATATACTATAAACCATATGCATGTATGCTTAAATATTAATGGAAATTAAACAAAACATTATTAATATGGATTAATTCTAAGAGGATGAATGGTTAGTGAAATGGAAAGACTATTTTAGATTCTACTTGATAAAATTATCTTGTGGGGGGAGAAAGTTAAAAAATCAAGAAGTCCCTGATGAAACATAACACCTTGCGGCAAAATAAAGAACATTACAAAACTATCCTTCTCATGGTGGACATTCAACTTAATCAACCGAGGTCAAATAAACATGGTCACCTGTAAATTTTTGATCCATTTAAGTCAATCACACAATGTTTGTATTTAATTTTATCAGTGAGATTATGACACATTCATACATGCACATGATATAATTCATTCAATTTCATTTCCATACCTCCCCTGGTCTTTCCCATCTCCCTCCCCTGGATCTACTTTCTCTACCCTATTAGTTTCCTTTTTATTATCTCAAGATCTCTTTTATCCTCTTCTCCCCTCTAGATTCCACACGAGAGAAGACATATGACTCTTGTTGAGTCAAACTTTTTTTGTTTGTTCGTTTTTGGCCTAACATGATGCCATCTAGTTATCCATTTTCTTGAAAATGACATAATTTTGTTCTTTTGGGCCTGGTAAGAATTTCATTGTGTGTATATACCCCCATTTTCTATTGTCAATCATATATTGATAGACACCTAGATTGGTTCCATAACTCAACTATTGCAAATTGGACTGCTATGTACATGGGTATGCATATGTCACTATAGTATGCTGACTTTAATTCTTTTGGATAAACACTAAGAGTTGATAACTGGATTATATGTGTCTCCATTCCTAGTCTTTTAATGAATATTTATACGTATTTCCATAGTTGCTGTACTAATACATTTTCTTAAACAATGTATAAGAGTTCCTATTTTCCTGCATCTTCACAAGCACTTGTTATTCATATTTTTGATTGCCATGCTAACTGGAATAACATGAAATCTCAGTGTACTTTTTATTTGCATTTCCCTGATTACTAAAGACATTGAATATTTTTTTACATATATTTGGCAATTTGTTTTTCTTCTTTTGAGAAATGACTGCATAGTTTATTTGCCCACTTATTCATTGGGTTATTTGTTTTTGATAAGTTTTTTGAGTCCTATATATATTCTGGATATTAATCCTCTGTTGGAAGAGTTTATGGGAATGATTTTCTCCCATTCATTCACATTATTATTTCCTTTGCTGAGCATGAAGTTTTGAAATTTTGATATATTACCATATATTAATTCTGACTATTATTTCCTGAGCTTTAGGAGTCCCATTGAGGAAGTCACTGCCTGTGTCTATATGTTGGAGTGTTTCCCCATTTTCCTCTAGTAGATGCGTAGTTTCTGGATGATTCTTGAGTATTAGGTTTATTTTGAATTGACTTTTGTGCAGAATGAGAGATAGTAATCTAGTTTCATTCAACATTTTGTGATTGACTTAAATGGCTCAAAATTTTACAGGTGACCATGTTTATTTGACCTCAATTGATTAAGTTGAGTGTCCACCTTGAGAAGAATAGTTTGGCAATGTACTTTATTTTTCTACAAGGTATGATGTCCCTGCATACAAATTCAAGAATAGACCATTCTATTTGATAAGGGAACCTACTTAAAGATGCTTCTATGTCTCTGGCCTCTATACTAGTACTTATATTTTCCAATATATTAAGATTCACTAATTAATCAGCTACTATTGAAGATTCTTTTTCATAGTACCATAAAATGCATTTTGAGGGAATTACTATAAAATGGGCTTTTCCAACAAAGTAGATTTAGTGGAAATCCCATGTGATGTTGGAGTTGTAAACATAAACTCATAGTTATCTTATTCCAGATTAGCATAACATAAATGCAGATGGATAGATGTGTTTGTAACTCATGATAGTAGACATCCCTCTATTTTCTAGTTCTGTCAACTGAGAGAACCTAGAAGCAACAAAACTCCAGTGGAACCTAATATATCTAGCACCCAAATCATGTTTTCCCATACCATTCTCCAATAAAATGAAGCAAGGCTCCTTGGAGAAATGGCTGATTTTGGGACAGAGTAGAGAACATATAAGATTAGCCTGGAGCACCTTATAGTGTTATATAAAGATAGGAGCCTGACAAAGAGATACAGCCAACATGAAGGAGCTCACAGTGGCAAATCTGGAACAATTTGAGCAACAAAATATGTAGTATTTATAAAATAGATATCCCTAAATTCACAGCAATTTAAATAAGATTTAGTAAGTAGAGAAAAAAAAGATAACTCTGATGCAGAATCTTAAATGACTTAAATACTCCCTGCTCAAAGGGGTGGAGCTTACTGTCTACCCCCTGATCTGGACAACTTTTAGTGACTTGCTTCCAACTAGTAAGTATGGGAAGGGAGAAAGTGTAATTTTACAGTGGAGAATATTTCCTTAGTTATATGATTGAAGTTAATATCAATAATAAGTTCTGATGATAATATGTATCCTTGATACAATAAGAATGGCACATTACTCTGTAGTCTTCCTCTCAAAACCCCAGAACTCCCAATAAAACCACAATAAAAATATCAAACTCAACTGAGAAACATTATGCAAAATACCAGATGAATACTCCTCGAAATGGCCTACGTTGTCAAGAAAAGGGAAGTCTGAGAAACTTAAAGCCAAGGAGAACATAAGGATTCCTGACAAACATAATGAGTGGCAGAGAGAAGGGCAACTAACCAGACCTTGAAGAACAGACAAGATTAGCATGTTGACCATCAAAAAATCAAGGGGACCTGATGCACTGTGAGCAAGCAGAGAAATGGTCAAGATCAAGACAGAAAGACAGAGGTTCCAGACCCTGGCTGCACAGTAGAATCATATGGGAAGATTTTCAATAATGCTATTCAGAACCTACCCACAAGTGATTGATTTAAGTAGCCAAAACAAACCAGTTATGCATATTCACATGCCTTAGAGCTTGATATACATAACATAGGGTAAGTATAAAAGCAAGTTGCAAAGATTATAAATAAAATTCTGGTACATAAGATCAAAACAAAAAACAATATACTGTTTTAGGAACACAGACATGTTAAAAACAAATTTAAAGAAAAATTTAAAAAGAACATAGGTACTATGAATACAAAACTTAGCAAATTTAGCATAGCACTTACCTTTTGGGAATGGAGCTAAGGGGTCTTGAGAGATAAGTACAAAGATCTTTCCTAAATGTACAGTTTTGGTCCCACCATTCCATTTAACAACTATTCTTTAAACTACACATATATTATATTCACTTTTTCATATCGCAGAATAGCTCATAGCTCTCTGGTAATTCAGTGATCTTACCCTTGCTGACATGAACCAATTTCAAGAGGAATAATCCTAAACCAACCTAGGGGAAAGTGCACTGCATGGGAAGGCATCTGGAATTATTACCAATAATAAAATTGAGTTCCTAGCTTAAAGATTAAACTAAAGTAGAACACGAGAAAAGTTCAAATACAGGAAGGATCATTATGCAAAGGAAGAAATAAGAACTCTTGTTTTCTAAAGTTACAGTAAGTTGAGACCCATAGATTCTGTGATGGGAAGCAGGTTTTGGCTCAACATGAATAATCAGACCTACATAAATGGGATAAAAAAATTTCAAGATTGGATTAACTTTCTCCTTACTGACATTGTTTAAATAGAAGCTAGAAGGCTATGCAGAGAAAATACTTAAAGGAAGATTCCTGCTTTAGAATTAGTCTGGATGATCTTAGAAGTTAGACAATCACACTTGTATACTAGGCATTTCCTATAAACCCGTGTGTTAAATAGATTAGTAAAACACCAGTTTCACTCACGATTGTACACAGTGGGCTGCAGTAAGAATCCAAACTGGATCGATGATGGCACCTCCACATTGGTGATCACCTAGAAACCTCAAACCCACCTGCCAGGGCCAACAGTGGGGACATGCTTCTTCCCCCCCTGCAATTCTTCTGGAAAGCCACTGGGGACTAAATGGAGGGATGCCACAGATATCTACAGGAAAGAAGAGGAGACCAATGGCTCATCCCAGACAACAATCATGAACACAACTCCTGCAAAGCCTTGCTATAGCTAACAGCAGTAATTCCCAAATGCCAGATGAGATTTATAAAGTACTTACTCCCAAGACCCATCTCTCAGGAGTCCGAATTTAAAAGCCTGCTTAGCCAACTGTGCCAGGCAGTCAGGATTTTAGACATGAAAGTATTTATTCGTTCATTTAAAACCTAACTATTCAGTGCTTGCTCTGCCAGGCACCGTCTCACTAAGTTGCTTAGGGCCTCAGTAAGTTTTTTTTAGCTGAGGCTCACTTTGAACTTGTTATCCTCCTGCCTCAGCCTCCCCAGCCACTGGAATTATAGGCATGCACCCTGCACATGGCTCAGGAAATCATTTTAAATAATAAGTTTGTATAGGAGTAGATGAGGACCATGAATTGTTCTCTGTACCTCTTTCTCCCTATATAAACCTTATTTTGTTTTCCCTCTGAGTCTATATGTAAACTCAAACAGGATTCTACAAGTTTCAAGGACTTAAACATAAAACTTGAATTTTTTTTCATTGTGGCATATCAAATGAAAGATGAAGATTCCAAAATAGACATTTAGTTAACAAAGAAGTAGATTAAACAGATAGTAGTATGGCCAACTCACCATATGGAATAGCTTTTCCAGTAAATATAGTATTGGTTTTGAGAAGTGTTGTCAGTCCATTTTTGTTTAAGGAGTCTATAGAGAAAAAAATTTTAATTGAAAGTATTTTGAGTAGCTTCACTAATTGACCTGCCTTGTTACCCTGATCAATCACAAAAACCACTCTGCTGTAGACCTCACTAACCCTACCATTTATATGCCAGATGCCAAGTTGCACAGATGTGATTTCTTGCTTATCTCTCAATATCCCTGCATCTAGCTCTTTTAAGCACTTTTTCCTTCCTTTACTCCATGATATTTACTCTTGAAATATTTAAAGTCATCTCTTAATTTTAGTCTTTTTTTCAAAATCTTTTTTTCAGCCTGAAAAGATATTCTACAAGGTACTGTCTGTCCATACCCTATTTTTTACTCATCTATATAAAGATGATTTGTGAATTTATCTCTTCACTATAAATCTCTTCCCTGAATTCTTGACCTAGAATAACTAGATGTCTCCATTAGAATTTCCTACAAAATTCTAAACATCTACATGTCATGAATGGAACTAATTGATTTTAATAGTCAATAGGGCCTTGTTCTTATGTCCCTGCATCATTTAATGGTTCTACCATCCATAGCCACTCGAGCTAGAACCCTGAAAACTCAAGCTGGACTTTTCCTTCTTCATAAATGCTCTCCCCACAACATGTATAGTCAAGCAATACAATTATAAAAATTTCTTGCAATGATTTTCCCACCACTCTTCTTACATGTAAGTTCATCCATCTTCTCAATTTTCCATATTACTCTGGAACCAGGGAGGTTCCAGAGGTTTGAAAAACAGCTCCACCTATTCATAGCTCTTTGGGAAAGTCATTTAACTTCTCTAAGCCTCAGTTCTCTGGTCTGTGCAAGGAGAGCAGTACATATTATCTTTGAAGTTTGTAAGGAGGAATAAATGGGTGATGTGTATGAAATATTGACTATACTTGGGATGAAGAAAGTGATCAATAGATCTTCACTAGATATTTACCACTATGGTACTTATAGTTTAATGCCTTTTCTATAATTCCTTCACAATGTAGTTTTCTTGTAAGTCATCAATTCTCCTTTATTATAGTTTTTGCATAAGATATTCCTTTTTGTCTAGGTAAAGTAAACTTTATCTTCTAAAGTACTGAGAAAACTATTAGTCCTCCAGAAGCTTTTAAAATTTCAAAATAGAGCCAATCTCATTTCTGAATTCCATTTTCTAATCTGAATTCTCTGCTTTTCGCATATGGTGCTTGGCATCTTTTGAAATGTTCTAGTGAATGCAGTTTCATGAGCATTATGGGAGATGCTTGCTAAGGCATAGATTTCTGGGCTCCACCCCAGATCTATAGAATCTAAATCTCTAGGAGTGGACCCAGGACTCTGCATTTTTATTCTTCTATCAAGATGATTCAAGCATCCTACATTTGGATAAACACAGTTAAATTATCTTCCCTATAAGCACAGTTCTTATTACACAGGTGATTATACTTGCCTGAAGGTAAAAAGGTGTTTCTAGCCTTGAATCCTTGGAAATTATTTTCACCATCACTTTTGAAATACACGACCATCATATTACCAAAACTGAATATTGAAATGGATTTCAAGATTCTACAAAGTTTAGTTGTAAAAGTTTTAGGGAAATTTGAATTATAGTTACAAAAAATTTAAAAATCCAAACACAGGAGGCAAAATATTATCCAACTAATGTTTTTAAGTCAGCAACTTTGTTTTTCTCCAACTTTGGCTTGTAGGCATACCCATACTTACAAAGAAAGTTAAAAATTAGTTTTCAAAGTAACAACGTATCATAATTTTTATCTCAAAAAAAATTTTATCTCAAAAAAAAACTATATGGGATGAAGACATCTGATTTCTAATATACACAAAAAACTCAATTATTAATTGGTGAACAATAGGAGCTGAATAAACAATAAAACCACCCAAGCAAATATATTTCTTCTTTCCAACAGGACATAGTCATTCTTTTTTTTTCTAAATTGATTTAAAAAAAATGACAGCGGAATGTATTACAATTCTTATTACATGTATACAGCACAATTTTTCATATCTCTGGTTGTATATAAAGTATGTTGTCACCAATTTATGTCTCCATACATGTACTTTGGATAATGATGTCCATCACATTCCACCATCCTTGCTAATCCCCTGTCCCCTCCCTTTCCCTCCCACCCCTCTGCCCTATTCTAAAATTCATCTATTCCTCCCATGCTCCCCCTCCCTACCCTACTATGAGTCAGCCTCCTTATATCAGAGAAAACATTTGGCATTTGTTTTTTGGGGATTGGCTAACTTCACTTAGCATTATCTTCTGATATGGTCATTCTTTATGTGAGCAGGCAACACCAGAAATCTGCTTTACCCAACCCTCACATCACATGTACTGCTCTGTTGGAGCATAGGATTGCGCTACCAACTCACCTGCTCTTAAAGTCCAAGTAAATATTCTGAGCCCATTTATATTCCTGGACTCTAACTCACTACCACCTGACTGAGGGACAAATAGGATGAAAGTTAATTCTTCATATGAAGTAAATAAAGTTATAACTTAAAGTATATTTGAAGTTGAAGTTGCTAAGAAAATTAAGACCCAAGTGGAAATTACAGTTTTTAGTTACTTTTCTTGGACACAAAAATGAAAATATTCGCAACAGAAGGAATTGATACAAAAAAAAAGGAAACTTAAAATTTTTACCTTCTGCACATACCAGAAATTTATTCACCGATACCATTTTCCCTTTTCTCTGAGAGTACTTCCTTTTCACCTTCCAAATATTCTGAAATATTTTCCACATTTTATATGTTTCTATTAAAAATCTTTACTAGTGAGTCAGCTGCTGGTTCACAGGTCTTAAAGCTAAAGTTTTCTGGCATGTGAGTTCTGGAGCTTCAAGTGTAAGAAATCCATACTCCCACTCAGTTTCTTGGTACCCAAGGAAGCCAGTCAATGCCAGAGGCACCCTGGTGAGTCTGATGCTTCTCAAATTGAATTTAGAGGATGGAATGTTAACTACCTAACTTGTGTTTTTCTTCAGGATCATCATAAATCACAATGGAATCATAAATACAGTTTTGGTTAAATTCAACTTTAAAGTCCTCAAATGTCAACTGTACAAATTATAAACACAACCAGAGAAGTGGTCAAAAAGAAAAAAGTTTAAGAAATTTCTCTTTGCACATTAAAAGGATCTCTGTTATTATCAAAATGTGGCTGATATAGATGCAAACAATTATAGTTTCCTTGGAGGGCAATTTGGCAATGACTACCAGGTTTAAATGCACAAACCCCTGACCCAGCAAGTTCATTTCTGCAAATTACATATATCTGCATGTGTCCAAAGATATTGACACAGGGATATTCATGGCAGCATTGCTGCTATGGACAACAACTGGAAACTCAAACCTCTGCTAATAGGAAACTGATTTATTTAATAAGTCAGGTAACATCACACAATATTTTATGTAGTTTTTAAGAAGAACTCTGTAGGCTCATTTGAAAAGTTCTTTGAGATACTGTTCAGTGAACAAAGCATTGCCAAGTAACTTAGATGCCTATGCTCAGAATACCTCCCCAGAGATGCTGCAATAACATTGATGTTTTACTCCATGTGTAGGACAAGAGTCTGATGAAAAAGCCTTATTTTGCATTGTATACACTTTTAAACTGCTGCATTTTTAAATTCACATACAGAATCCTTTTAGGGTAAAAAAAAAGTGGCAAAAAGAAACTTCTAGCCATAATGGTATCTTAACAATCCATATGAAGTAAGTTATGCCTACCTAGCATAATAGCTAAGTTTTCTATAAAGTAGCAATTCCTCAATTGCTTACTTTTATGATGTGTTTCTCTGGAGCATGAATAAACCAATGATACCACACATTACTGGGATACAAGCGAGGATAGTTGGCATACTGAATTGTCCCTTCCTCTACCAATACAGCCACACTCTCACAACCTGAACCTATGCAGATGTAGGGAGAATCCACATTGAATGGCAAAAGGCACTTCTTATTGTCATCTCCATTTAGAGACAGCAGAGAATGAACACCTGAAATCCTTACCTGTTCCTGAGTTCTGTACAGCAGAAAAGCAAAGTTCAAAGCCACTGCCACTGTTTTCTGCATCAGAAACAAATGTAACTATGGCCTGGTTGGTCTCCATCAGCAAGGGTGAGGGCAACATATCTCCACAGACCTTACCTTGAGAGGAAAAGAAATTGAAATAACATTACTGAAATGTAGTGCAAAGTTATACATGTTTTTTTTTCTGGTAATATCTCCCATGAGTTCTTCTTTAATCTTGCCATAATCTCTGCTTCAATGATTCTATTTCACCTATCTTCTGGCTCTCAGTTTCAAGTGAAATTCTATTCGCCCTTTAGGACCTTATTCAAGGTCCAGTTCTCTTATAAACTTTCCTGGACACTCACTGAAAACCAAGGGACCTTTCCCTGGATCAATTTAGCACATTCTGTATTCTGCAGCTTTTCCTGCTGTGTGGGATACCTTCAGTGACCTCAAGCCATAAGCTTGAGACTGATTCTCTATATGTTCAGCATGTGATATCCTGTACATACCCGACTTTAAGCAAGAATGATTGCTAGATAAATAGTAGACTTAAGTATAAAATGATTTAGTCAATAAATATTATAATCCCTAGAAAACTATCTTTTCTATGTCAAAATTTGTGAAGAGACATTTGTTTTGTCATTTATCTCATGGAGATCTAGAGATGAAGGTCTGTATCAGCTGTGGAGACCCTTAATGCTTAACACATTTCAACTAACATAGAGGTCAATTATGTTTCTATAGCTTGTAAGAGGAATCTAACAAAATTATGTGGCTGAAATGACCTATTGTGTCTTTAAATTATTAAAGAATTGTACAGTAGAGTTCAAAGTGTGTGTATGTAAACAGATATGCACAAAAATGTTAACAGTAAGAGCCAGGACTGTTGTTCAGTGGTAGAGCATTTGCCCAGCATGTATAAGGCCCTGGGTTCGCTCCCCAGCACCGCCATCTCTTAGTGGTAGGTTTGTGAATGGTTTACATGTTTTCCTTTTTGCTCATCTTTATATACCAAATTTACTAAACATATACCCACTTTTGTGATTAAAAATGAAAATATTAACCTTTCCTTGAAATGGAGGTTTTCTGGCAATTGTGATGTCAATTTTATTCAATACTGTTATTAAACTTGAAAAAGGAATGTGATATTTGGTGTCTGATTTAGAAAAACAATGAAGAAAATGATCAGATAATATGCTATTGTTTCTATTCTTACAACCTCCTGCACCCATCCCTTTTAGAAGGGCACAGTATGTAAGATAAAACAATTATCCCAGGTGCAAAAATCTCACATGAGCTATAGCATTTCTCTTTTTTAAAGTACTCTAAAATGATAAGTAACATACTAATAATCGCTCCATCACTTGATTGTAAAGATATGTAGTCATGATCACATCCAGCTTGATTTTCTATATCTAGACTTGTAAATTTTATCAGGATAATTTTATCTTCTGGTACCATTATTTTCCAGACACATAAACTGGGGTAAGAGCAGGAAAAAAAAATAAAATTAATGCAAGTTTGAAAATAAGATCTAAGTTTCATGCATTAGTTTACACTTTACCAATAGTAAAATTTAGCAGAATATTAGAATGCAAAAATCAACAAATTCCTTATATGGCAGAAATATGTTTATAACCAAATTGCTAACATTTCTCCAACAAATACATGATTACTAATTAGAAAAATGGCCAGAAACCAATGTTTAATTTTTATTTAGTTAAAAAGTGCTAGAATTTTCATCTATAAACTGAAGAAAACTTCTCATATTTTTCTAGGTCATCATTAGTCTAGTTAAAATTCATAATATTTACCTAGAAGTTGAACTATGGACAATGAATTCTCATGAATTATGGATTAACTGTGCAGCACATGTTACCTCTAACCAGCCAAATCAGGTCATACTAATTCAGTCCCCAGGGTTGTAATGTCATCTAACTCCCAAATCAGGTCAGATGTGACCTTTCACTAACATCTTTAGAAACATGTCTAAACATTTTCAAAGTAGCCTTACATAATCTGTCACATAACACTTCACCTTTATTTTCCTCACATGAATTTATACTATTTAAGAAAAAAATCCCATTGAACCACAAATCTCAACTTCTTCCATATGTCACATTCATCTGAATGCAAAATTATTTGGAATCTAACATGTCAGAATGAACTTCTTTCTGAAGTGTGGCAGTCTTCATCAACAACCTTAGACGTTAATAGCCCACTGCTCTCTAGGTAATAAATGTTCAGGACTGTAGGAGCAATCGAGTTCTTTTATGCCCAATTTCTAAAAGCCCGACACTAATAATTCTTTTTGCCAAACAACTCCCTCTTAACCAGAAACTCTTCAAATTAATCTTTCTATTCAAATCCATCATTCTGAATATAGATAAAAAAATAGGTAACCTAAAATAGTATTAAAATCACTTTTTAAGAATTTCCATTTAAAAAGCAATAAGCTACCTAAAATATTATAAAGCTCGCTTATCTAAGCACTTCAATTGAAAAAGCACTGTGCATCTATCATCCTTTTTGAGACTCATTATACCCCTCTGAGAACACAGGAGAGAAATTACTCTCCCTATTTCAAATGAGAAAACTGGCATTGATACTAAAAGACTCATTGAATCTCTTATATAATGGGAGCTATAGTTCAAGTGTCACGACTTCAAAGTACCAGTACTTTCTCTTGTTTTCAAATTATTTTCTGCCTCAAAATGTCTTAGATGGAGGCCCAGCGGCCCGCCGGCATGGTAGACACATCGCCCCAATTGGAGGAGGAGCACAGCCGCCGCCCACCCCTGAAAGGGAGACTTTTCAACTATACAAGAGCAATATAAATATATAGGGGGAAAATTCAATAACACAACAGTTTCACCAAGCAGAAAGAAACACGAGCACTATGAAAAGACAAGGAAAGAAAGGACCACAAACAATGCAGGTCAACTCAACTTTAGAAGAGGTAATAGCTGCAGCAGATGGAATGTCAGATAAAGAATTCAGGATTTACATGCTTCAGATGATCTGGAGTCTTAAGGAAGACATTAGATAGCAAAATCAGACAATGAAAGATCACTTCGACAATGAGTTACATAAACAAATCCAAGAAGCAAAAGATCAACTATATAGGAAGATAGAGGTTATAAAAAACAAACAAACAGAAATCCTAGAAATGCAGGAAGCAATTAACCAACTTAAAAACTCAAATGAGAATACTACCAGCAGAGTAGAACACTTAGAAGATAGAACATCAGACAATGAAGACAAAGTATTTCAACTTGAAAAGAACATAGACAGCTCAGCGAGACTGTTAAGAAACCATGAGCAGAACATCCAATAAATTTGGGATAACATAAAGAGACCAAACTTAAAGAGTCATTGGGATACAGGAAGGTATAGAGGTCCAAACCAAAGGAATGAGCAATCTATTCAATGAAATAATACGAGAAAACTTCCCAGACTTGAAGAATGAGACAGAATCCCAAATCCTAGAAGCCTACAGGATGCTGAATGTGCAAATTCATAAGAGATCCACACCTAGACACATTATAATGAAGATGCCCAACATACAGAATAAGGAGAGAATTTTAAAAGCTACAAGAGAAAGGAAGCAGATTACAT